CCCTCCAGCTCCACCACACCCGGCACTTTTCCCTGCAACCGCAGGAATGTGCACTCCTGCCCCCATACCTCCTCCCTCACCCCCATCCCAGGCCCCAAGAAGACTTTCCACATCAAGCAGATGTTCACCTGCACATCTGCCAATGTGGTATACTGCATCCGCTGTACCCGGTGTGGCTTCCTCTACATCGGGGAAACCAAGCGGAGGCTCGGGGACCGCTTTGCAGAACACCTACGCTCGGTTCGCAATAAACAACTGCACCTCCCAGTCGCGAACCATTTCAACTCCCCCTCCCATTCCTCAGACAACATGTCCATCCTGGGCCTCCTGCAGTGCCACAACGATGCCACCCGAAGGTTGCAGGAACAGCAACTCATATTCCGCTTGGGAACCCTGCAGCCCAATGGTATCAATGTGGATTTCACAAGTTTCAAAATCTCCCCTCCCCCTACCGCATCCCAAAACCAGTCCAGCTCGTCCCTGCCTCCCTAACCTGTTCTTCCTCCTACCTATCCCCTCCTCCCACCTCAAGCCGCACCTCCATCTCCTACCGACTAACCTCATCCTGCCCCCTTGACCTGTCCGATCTCCCTGGACTGACCTATCCCCTTCCTAACTCCCCACCTACACTCACCTTTACTGGCCCCATCCCCGCCTCTTCGACCTGTTTGTTTCCTCTCCAACTATCCTCTCCTCTATCCATCTTCTATCCGCCTCCCACTCTCTCCCTGTTTATTTCAGAACCCCCTTCCCCTCCCCCATTTCTGATGAAGGGTCTAGGCCCGAAACGTCAGCCTCTCTGCTCCTATGATGCTGCTTGGCCTGCTGTGTTCATCCAGCCCTGCACCTTGTTGTCTCATTATTAATAATTGCTTTCCAAAAGCCAACAACAATAAAAGGGATTGGAGATTATGTTGAGTTGGGAGACAGTAACGTTCCTGATGGAGAAATCATGGCTGAGTGCTTAGCTTTAATACAAAGGTATATTGGGTTGAAGACAGAGAGCTCAAGGTGAAGTGAGAAACAAAATGACGAGTCATCAGAAGCTCAGGGTCACAATTCCAGACTGAGTTGAGGTGTTCAGTAAAGCAGTCTCCCAAACTCCATTTGGACTCTCGAGTGTGGGGGGAGGCTGTAGTGTCAGCGGCAAATAGAGTAAACCACAAGCCGTCACAGTTTCACTTTGAACAGGGAATGTTTCTGACCTTGGCTGGTGAGATGGGAGGAAGTGAACGGGCAAGGGTGGTACAGTGGTAACGTCCCTACCCTGGAGCTGGAGGCCCGGGGTTCAGGTGTGTAATAACATCTCTGAATAGGTCAATCAGAAAAAGAGGTCAACCAGTTCTTTACAGAAAGGGAGGGGTTGTTGGGTGTGAAATTGGGGAAAAGCCAGACGGAACAGTCCAATTGGAAAAGCCGTGAGGGGATAATGTTCCATCTCTCTGAAGACAGTGGGAGTGCCAGAGCGTGCGGTGATGATTGCAGAGTGTGGGAGGTGAGAGTGAATCCTATTCTGGCTCTGAGCCTCACAGGGCGGGGGGGAACAGAGGGGCGGTAGTGATAGTTTATGACCCTGTTGATGTATAGTGGAAGAATTGAGGAAATAGGAAGTTTGCGTGTCCAGTTGAGAGTGGGATTGGGTCCCTGTCTGAAGAGTCAGGTTCAGGTCCATTAATTACAATTTCTGATGTGGGGCAGGTGAAGCCATCTCCAGGCTAATGCTCACAGGGTCTGTTTTCCTAACTCAGTGGACCACAAATAGAGGAAGATATAAACATTGCAGCTGTTCCCAATTACCCTGAGTATAATTTAATTGAAATGAGAGATCTCCTGATAAAGGGGAACCCCTTTCTCAGGGAGCAGGGAAAGCCCCGTGTTTAGAAATATTTTCCAGGCCAAGTGAAAAAGACTTTTTGACCGATAACGGAGTGAAAGGTCAGGGGGTGCAGCTGGATTGTGGAGTTAAAGTCATAGCTAGATCAGCCGCGATCTTACTGAAAGGTGGGTCAGGCTCCAGGGACTGTGATCCTGTCATCTCACTGGAGAGTGGATTACTCACTCAGTGCTGACCATGCTGCTGCTGCATCAGGAACTTTCTCTCACCTTCTTTCCGTCTCTGCCTTTTCTCTCGATTTGCTTCTGGTTGGGATTTCGCCTTCAAAGGAGTTTCCAGTTTGACAGCCTGATTGAACTCTCTCGGATCGGCATCCAACATTTCTGTACAAAGTGAAAAATTAGCATCAGCAAAAATGGAGACAGGCAGACTGACTGTGAGAGAGAGGCAGACAGCGAGAGAGAGATAGACTGACCGTGACAGAGAGCAAGACAGACAGCAAGAGACAGGCAGAGAAACTGACAGACAGAGACATAAAGAGACAGAAGCAGAAGACTGGTACACAGAGAGATACTAAGAGCGAAAGGTAGAGAGAAAAACTGACAAGAGTACAAGAATCAAAGAGAGAGAGAGAGAGATGGGGTGATTGACCACTCAGCACCGAGGGGCTGGGAATCATTCTGGGTTCCCTCCCAGTGCTCTCCCTCTGCAGATTCATAGACAAGTGTCAGTGAGTGATGTCCTGGATTTTCAAGGCTAGCTTCACTGCGTCAATGTAAGGAAAGGGTTAATCAATCCTTGCCATCTCTTCAATTTCATAAATTAACTTCTAAACTTTCGAATTTCCAAGTTTTGAACAGCTCAGAGTGGTTCTGTGATCGGGTTTCAATTTTTTTCACAATTCGCAAGGTTTTGTCACAGATTCCGCAGTTAAATGGCCACTTAATCAAAATTAAGAACAGTTACTAGTTTATGCTGAATAATTAAACTACGTTTTGGAAGCAACTCATCATCGCTCCTCAAACACTGCGATTAATCTTCTGCTATTTAATTGCGCCGCTCTCTGACCTTTCCCCAGTTTCCGAGCTCTCTCAGTCCTTGTCGCTGTTTCTCTGAGTTCTAAGCAAGTGCTCAGATTTTCTGTCCCATTCTCGTCCAGTTCCTCCACGTCCACTTCCAGGATATCTGTGAACAGCAGCATTGGGTCAGGAAAGAGGGATGAGGGATTGTGTGTGTGTGTGCGCGAGAGAGAGAGAGAGAGAGAAAGAAAAAAAACAACATTCCCACCATTTCCCTTGTTTAGAATGTTCCTGCTATTCCTACAGAGTCCCTCACATCCCAGGATAACATCTCAATCTGTGCCCAGAATCCAGTGAAAGATATTTTCCAATCTCCCTGTTCAGGGATGTCATCAGGGAGCAGGTGGGAAGTGAACACAGCCCTCCTGGTCCAGAGGTCATGACACCACCACTGCAGCACAACAGTGTCAGAATTCAAGTATCAGCTTGAGGATGGTGGGGAATCAGGAACATGCTGCCTGTGAGGGGTGAGAGAGAGACAGAAACCCCCTTGTCACATTGAAGAAGTATTCAGATGTGGACTTACAATGCCGAGGTATACAAGGCAATGGGCCAATGGCTGGGAAATCGGATGAGATCATTTAAGTGGTTGCTTTTTGACTGGCACAGATTCAATAGACTGAAGGACCTTTATTCTGAGCTGTAGGTTCCATGAATCTATGACAGCCTGAGAATTGTTAATTCCTTCCACATTCAGCTGTTCTCAGAGCCTGAGATTCTCCCAATGGAGTGCAAGATCTAACATGTTGAACTTTTACATTAGATCAGAGCTCCCAGATCATTCCAGCCATTCTGTCCAGTTCCCTGAGAGGGGTCCTGTGCCTGTGGGAATGCCTGGCCTCTCCAGTGTCATAGCCTGTCCTGGGCCCGGTCAGAGTGGCTTTGGAAGAAAAACCTGACACTGCACTCAATGAGCAAACCTCACTCTAACTAAACCAGACGGAGGGAAAGGTAGCTCACTATCTCCTGGGAATGACCAATTACCTGTCTAAATCCCATCTAATTCAGCTGCACTTGTTGAACTTGATAGCACATGCCGTTACCCCAAAGCAGTTGCCATTTGATTCTTGCTCTTCAGTGGAAGGTGTGGGTGTTGCTGGCTGGGTCAGAATGTATTGCCTATCCCTGATTTGCCCTTGACAAGGTATTGAGGAGCTGCCTTTGGTTTAGGTAAACTCCACCATGCCGTTCAGGAAGGGAATTCCAGCATTTTGACCCAGAGAACGGAAGGAATGGCTCAAGTCAGGACGGTGAGCGGCTTGGAGTGGCTTGTGTTCCAATGTATCTGCTGCCCTTGTCCTTCAAGATGGAAGTGGTCATGGGTTTGGAAGGTGCTGTCTGAGGATCTTTGGTGAATTTCTGCAGTTCATCTTGTAGATGGTACACACTGCTGCTACTGAGCGTCAGTGGTGGAGGGAGTGGATGCTTGTGGATGTGGTGCCAATCAATCAGGCTGCTTTGTCCTGGATGGTGTCAAGCTTCTTGAGTGTTGTTGGAGCTGCACACATCCAGACAAGTGGGGAGTATTCCATCACACTCCTGACTTGTACCTCGTAGATGATGGACAGGCTTTGGGGAGTCAGGAGGTGAGTTACTCGCTGCAGTATTCCTAGCCTCTGCCCTGCTCTTATATACACAGTGGCTATGTGGTGAGTCCAGTTGAGTTTCAGGTCAATGGTAACCCCCAAGAAGTTGACGTTGGGGAATTCAGTGATGGTAATGTCATTGGATAGCAAGGGGTGATGGTTAGATTCTCTCTTGTTGGGGATGGTCTTAGCCTTGTATTTGTGTGCCACAGATGTTACTTGCTACTTGTCAGCCCAAGCCTGGATATTGTCCAGATCTTGTTGCATTTGAACATGGACTGCTTCAGTATCTGAAGAGTCTTGAATGGTGCTGAACATTGTACAGTCATCAGAGAATATCCTCACTTCTGACCTTATGATGGAGGGATGTCATTGATGAAGCAGCTGAAGATGGTTGTGCTAAAGACGCTACCCTGAGGAACTCCTGCAGAGATGCCCTGGACTGACCTCCAACAACCATGACCATCTTCCTATGTGTTAGGTATGACTCTAACCACCAGAGAGTTTGCCCCCTGATACCCATTGATTCCAGTTTTGCTGGGGTTCCTCGATGCCACACTCAGTCGAATGCAGCCTTGATGTCAAGGGCCGTCACTCTCACCTCATTTCTGGAATTCAGCTCTTTTGTCCATGTTTGAATTAAGGCTGTAACAAGGTCAGGAGCTGAGTGGCCCTGGTGGAACCCAAACTGGGCATCACTGAGCAGGTTATTTCTGAGCAGATGCTGCTCAATAGCACTGATGACACCTTCCATCACTTTACTGATGATCGAGAGTAGACTGATGGGGCGGTAAGTGGCCGGGTTGGATTTGCCCTGCTTTTTATGTATAGGACGTACTTGGGCAATTTTCCAAATTGTCGGGTAGATGCCAGTGTTGTAACTGTACTGGAACAGCTTGGTTAGGGGAGCGGCAAGTTCTGGAGCACAAGTCTTCAGTACTATTGCTGGAATGTTGTCAGGGCCCATAGCCTTTGCAGTATCCCTTACTGGACATCACATGGAGTGAATGGAGATTGAAGCCTGGTATCTGTAACAATGGGGACCACTGGAAAAGGCCGAGATTTTCTTTTTATTCATTTTGTGGGATGTGGGTGTCACTGGCTATGCCAGCATTTCTTGCCCATCCTTAGTTGCCCTTGAGAAGGTGGTGATGAGCTGCCTTCTTGAACCACTGCCTCCTGCTGTGGTTTGATCCAGGCAGCTCACCACCACCTTCTCAGGGGCAACTAGGGATGGGCAAGAAATGCTGGCATAGCCAGCAATGCCCAGATCCCACAAAATGATAGATCATCAACTCAGCATTTCTGGCTGAAAATTGCTAAAAATACTTCAGTCTTATCTTTTGCACTGATGTACTGGGCTCCCTTATTGAGGATGGAGATATCTGTGGAGCATCGTCCTCCAGTGAGATGTTTAATTGTCCACCACCATTCATGACTGGATGTGGCAGGACTGCAGAGCTTAGATCCGATCCATTGGTTGTGGGATCGCTTAGCTCTGTCTATCACTTGCTGTTTATGCTGTTTGGCGTGCAAGTAGTCCTGTTTGGTGGCTTCACCAGGTTGACATCTCATCTTCAGATATGCCTAGTGCTGCTCCTGGCACACCCTCCTGCACTCTCCATTGAATTACAGTTGATCCCTTGGCTTGATGGTAATGGTTGAGTGGGGGATATGCCAGGTATGAAGTTACAGATTGCACTGGAATACAATTCTGCTGCTGTTGATGGCCCACAGCGCCTCATGGATGCCCAGTCTTGAGTTGCTGTATATGTTTGAATTCTGTCCCATTTAGCACGGTGATAGTGCCACACAACACGATGGAGGTTGTTCTCAATGTGAAGGCGGGACTTTGTCTCCACAAGGACTGTGCGATGGTTTCTCTTACCGATACTGTCATGGACAGATGCAACTGCAGCTGGCAGATTGGTAAGGATGAGGTGAAGTATGTTTTTCCCTCTTGTTGGTTCCCTCACCACCTGCCACAGACCCAGTCTAGCAGCTATTTCCTTTAGGACTTGACCAGCTCGATCAATAGTACTGGTGCCGATCCACTCTTGGTGATGGACATTGAAAGCCCCCACTGAAGGTGTATTTTTGCCATTGCCACCCTCGGTGCTTCCTCCAAGTGTTATTCAACATGGAGGAGCACAGAGCATCAGCAGGAGGTTTCCTTGCCCACATTTGACCTGAAGCCCAGAGAAACTTCCTCTCAACTGTATCCCACTGTGCCGCCCCCTCTGGTGGGTCTGTCCTGCTGGTGAGACAGGACATACCCAGGGATGGGGATGGGGATGGGGATGGGGATGGTGGCATCTGGGACATTGTCTGTAAGGTATGATTCTGTCTGGCTGTTTCTCGACTAGGCTGTGAGGCAGCTCTCCCAATTTTGGCACTAGCCCCCAGATGTTATTGAGGAGGACTTTGCAGGGTCAGCGGGGCTGTTTCTGCCATTGTTGTTCTTGGTACCTCAGTTGATGCCAGGTGTCCATCTGAATTTGTTGACTTATTTCGACCTAATAATGGATGGTATAACTGTGGGACTTGCTCGGCGTTTCAGAAGGCAGTTAAAACACATCTACATCAGTGTGGGTCTGGAGTCACATGTGGATCAAACCAGGTAAGGACAGCAGATCTTTGTCTTAAATTACATAAATGAATTGATTATGATCCCAACTGATAGTAATACTGGACAAGTCAGATCTCAGAGCGAAACTTGGCTTAATAGAGCATTATTTTACATTTGCTATTTGTTTACTGTGGAGGTCAGTCACTGAACATAATCACAAGAGGCTGTCAATGTACTTTTAACAAAAGAACATAAAAGTTTATTACACAAAACAAAAACACAAGCTATATTACACTATACAAAAACAATTTGAAATGGTCTTATTACAAATATCAGAAAGACAGACTCAGTCCTTTATCCACAACAATAACCTCAATATAAATTTTCAAACCTCAATGAAGCATCATCCTCGTCTCTACTCGCTCAGCTGTCTCGGCCGTTATTGGGTTCAATTCAGCAAATGTCTGCATTTACCTGATGCTTCTTTTTTACTCAATGTTTCATTCTGAGACCTTTAAACAAGCTGCTAACTCAGCTGACTTGTTACTTCAGATGGATTCCTTATGTCTTTACCTGCTTTGCTGGATCTCTTCCTCTGACACCTCCACAGCCTTGTGATTGTAGCTTTCTTCTAAGTAACTGAGACCTTTATCCCCTAGCCCTGACTATTATGATTTCTAATAACAACATCTCTGCTGTTAAGGACCTCTTCTCTCTGAATGAACCTGTTTCTGGGAGCCCTTCTCTCTCTCTCGCTTTCTGTCACTGGGAGGTAAAATTCAAATCAACAGACAACCAAGCAACTAGCTCTCCAAGTGGCTGGCTCTTCATTTATCTGAAGTCACGTGATTTCCTGGAAATGCTATACTTTGTTAAAATCAAAGTTCAAACTGACTTTATGAGCTCTTTTAAAGAGTCAAACTTTCACAGACCTGAAGCTAAAATACATTTTTCTGTACTTTGGAATCCAAATCCCCAAATAACAATGCTATATTTTGAATATTCAGCACAAACCAGGTGGGTTTTTACTGCTGGATTCTGAGGAAGGGTCACTTGACCCGTAATGTTAACTCTGATTTTGCCTCCACAGGTGCTGCCAGACCTGCTGAACTTTTCCAGCAATTTCTGTTTTCATTTTGGATTTTTACAACAACGAAAGGTCGCCATAGACTCATTTTAACTCCTGATTTTAATAATTCAAATTTCACCAGCTGTACGTGGAATTTGGGCCCTTATCCCTGGGAGCTCTGGATTACTAGACCAGTCACATTATTACCATCACCTCCCCTCATTGTATCTTGACTCTCAATAACTTGACCCAATTGCACCATCTCCCTCCTCCATTACCTTTTCCCAGATCCCATGTTTGTTCCTTGTTGATTTTAGCCACTTCACGAATATCTCTGTCGACAAATGAACTGTCCCCATTGTCGAGGGACTCTAACTGGAGATGAGAGATGGCTATCTCCTCCTCTGGAATCTTGCAGGAGAAGTCTTCATGAGGAAGGTTTGAGGCAGAGAAAAAGAGAAGTGTCAGAGAGAAGCACAATCACCTGCAGTGTCTCCCCACCCCGCAACTGTTTCTGCCTGGTTTTCTCGCTATCTCTGTCTGTTAATCACACAATCAGGTGTTCAGTTCCAGGCTGTGAGATCCCAGAACAGGAATGGCCAAAAACAGCATCAATCTGACTTTAAAGCCAACCATTTCCTGATTCCCTCAATGATCCCAGTTTCCTGGTCACAATTTTCCAGGTAAATCATTCCAGTAATTATAAATTACCACAATAATTACAGTGTGTTCTTAAGCCCCTGACTCTCCCCTAATTAAGCCCTTCCTAATTTACTTCACTAATCTGCTTGCAATCCCTTTAGTAACTAACCTTCCTCCCCCATTAAATCCTATCGCTCGATTCATTTCCCCAACTCTCTCACTGAAGCCTAGAAGCATCCAACAGATTTATCTTATATCCTGAGCGATCTGAAATAATCTTGGAATGTGGCTGCTCTATGTCGACACAGCATTCCACAATCCTGGAAATGTCTCTGTCAGATATTGGGACAGATACCTGACATAACATTGGTGCTGTGTGTTTTGAAGAGGGACGCCTGCTCATCAGCTTTCCGTAGCTGCCTGGGCTTCACCTTCGCATCTGGGTTTGCCTGGACCATCAGGATGTCCTGCCGTTTCCGCCTCTGCTTCTGTTTGAGAAGATTCCACTGGGAGAAAGAAAACAAATAATTATCCTGTCTCCAGAAGCAAATATTTTCAATTCTCACTTACCCCTACAATATAAGGTTAGATACAGAGTAAAGCTCCTTGAACACTGTCCCCAAACACTCCCAGGACAGGGACAGCACAGGGTTAAATATGGGGTAAAGCTCCTTCTACACCATAATTCTGTTAGTTTTAAAATAGTGATGGGAAAGTATAGACTGGATCTAAAAGTTAAAGTTGTAATTTGGCGGAAGGCCAATTTTGATGGTATTAGGCAAGAATTTTCAAAAGTTGGCTTGGGGAGAAATGTCTGCAGGTAAAAGGATGGCTAGAAAATGAGAAGCCTTCAAAAATGATATAACGAGAGTCCAGAGACATTACGTTCCTGTTAGGGTGAAGGGCAAGGCTGGTAGGTGTAGGAAATGCTGGATGACTAGAGAAATTGAGGTTTTGGTCAAGAAAAAGAAGGAAACATATGTCAGGTGTAGACAGCAGAGATCAAGTGAATCGTTAGAAGAGTATAAAGGCAGTAGGGGTATACTTAAGAGGGAAATCAGGAGGGCAAAAAGGGGACATGAGATAACTTTGGCAAATAAGGTTAAGAAGAATCCAAAGGGATTTTATAAATTCATGACAAAAGAGTAACTAGGGAGAGAATAGGGCCCCTTAAAGATCAGCGAGGTCATCTATGTGTGGAATCGCAAGAGACAGGGGAAGTTCTAAATGAGTATTTTGCATAGTGCTTAGTGTGAAGAATGGTATGGGAGATAGAGAACATGGGGAAATAAATAACAGCATCTTGAAAAGTGTCCTTATTACACTTTGTGTAAATGTTGTGAAAGTATAAAGGGTGCAGAAAACTTTCCAAGGATGTTGCCAGGGTTGGAAGGTTTGAGCTATAGTGAAAGGTTGGAAAGGCTGGGGCTATTTTCCCTGAAGTATTGGAGGCTGAGGGGTGACCTTATACAGGTTTATAAAATCATGAGGGGCACGGATAGGGTAAATAGACAAGGTCTTTTCCTTAGGGTGGGGGATTCCAAAACTAGAGGGCATTGCTTTAAAGTGAGAAGGGAAAGATTTAAAAGGGACCTATAGGGCAACTTTTTCACACGGAGGGTGGTGCGTGTATGGAATGAGCTGCCAGAGGAAGTGGTGGACGCTGGTACAATTACAACATTTAAAAGGTTCCTGGATGGGGACATGGATAGGGAAGGGTTTAGAGGGATATGGACCAAAAGCTAGCAAATGGGACTAGATTAATTTAGGATATCTGGTCGGCATGGAGGAGTTGGGCCAAAGGGTCTGTTTCCATGCTGTACAACTCTTAAGACTCTGCACTGTCCACATCAAACACTCCCAGGACAGGGACAGCACAGGGTTAGATACAGAGTAAAGCTCCCTTTACACTGTCCCCATCAAGCCCACCCAGCACAGGGAGAGCACATAAACACTCTCTCTCTCTCTCACGCACACACGCACTCACACGGGCGCGCACACACACGCATACGCATCACGCGCACACACACACAAACACATACACACACACGCACTCACACTCTCACACACACACGGACTCTCACACCAAGAGGTTAGATATAGAGTAAAGCTCGCTCTGCATTTCGTACATTGACCTCAACCTCCCAAGTATTGCCCCCATCATCTGGAGAGCTGTGGAGCTGGTAAATTAATATTAAAGGGTGCAGTGAGGGTAAACCGGCACTCAGCCATCGTCAGGCTCCTACCTGATTGTCGAGTTTCTGACGGCGCAGGCTCTGACCATCTTCATCCATCACACTGTGGGTTGGGGCAGAAACACAGGCTGTCAGTGCACATTCTACAGGCAGAGTCTCCGAGCCAGCCCTACAAGCAGTTCGAGAGGGTGGAGGGGAACAAACCCTTCCCCATATCTCCCCCGACCCACCACCCTCTCCCTCACCCCCACCCTGACCCTGCCATTGGCAGCTCCGGCCTGTGCCGTGAGCTCTAGCGAAAAGCGAAAGATGAAAATGATGCTTTACCTCCCTGGGAGTGTCGTGGAATAAACAGAAGAATTCTCAGTCCTGGAATCCAGAGGGAGAAAGAATACAGTTAAATTAACATGCAATAAATATTGTGTAAACAACTGTTCTGAATATACAATGAATATTGATGGTCAATTAAACTGAACAGAGTGAGTGGGTAAAGATACTGTGAGTAGAGCATAACGTGGGAACACCACCCCCTGCCAGTTCCCCTCCAAGCCCCTCACCATCCTGATTTGGGAATATAATTGCTGTTCCTTCACTGTCACTGGGTCACAAACCCGGAATTCCCTCCCTAAAGATATTGTGGATCAACCCACAGCAGGTGGACTGCAGCGTTTCAAGGAGGCAGCTCACCCCCACCTTCTCAAGGGGCAACTAGGGATGGGGCAATAAATGCTGCCCAGCCAGCGACGCCCATGTCACAAAATGAACAAAAAAAATCCCACAGCTCATTCAAACTTTTGCCTTGATTGCTACCATTACATTACTTCCCGTATCGGAGGGTTACCATGGTTACTGCCACATTAGCTTGCGCAAAAGCCCGTGAAAACCAAGAGTATACCAATAAGAACTTGCATTTAGATGGAACCTTTACACAGTAAATGTCCTGAAGCACTTTCACTGGAGCATAAATCACCACATAAATCAGCCTCTGAGCAATGTTCAATTTCAGGAAGGTGACTAAAATCTTGGTGATAGGTTTTAAGGAGCCTATTACAGGAGAAGATAGGGGAAAGGGGAGGGGAGGTTTAGGGCCCAAGCTGCTACAGAAATGATGACCATCGGCAAATAATTAAACTCCAGGTTGGTGAAGATGCAAAGGCTCAGAGGTGTTTCCAGGCACAGGAACATGCAGGGGTTTGAAAACAGAGAGAAGAGAATTGGCTAAAAAGCTGATGTTAGTGAGCACAGGGGTGGTAGGTGAGGGGGATGAATTGGTGACAGGATTACAGAAATGCTGAAATTTTGAGAGGGTGAACAATGTTGGGTTGGTCAGGACAGTATTGGAATAGTCGAGTGTGGAGGCATTAATGACAATGGGTGAAAGTTATAGCAGTCAATGAACTGAGGCAGGGTAGAGGCAGAAAATTCTGCAAATGCAGTCTTCCTGAGAGGGATTTTATATGATTGACAGATTAGCTCAAAGTGAAATATCTTTCATAAAGTCTTCCTAACTGCCAAATGAACCTGCCTGTTAACCTTAAGAGAATCCAGGACTAGGATTCCCAAATCCCTTTGTGCTTTAGTTTTCCAAAACCTTTCCCCATTTGGAAAATAGTCTATGCCTCTACTCTTCCACCCAAACAGCATAATCTCACACTTTCCCACATTGTATTCCATCTGCCATTTCTCTGCCCACTTTCATAGCCTGTCCAAATCCTTTGCACTACCTGTCCTTCCTCCTATCTTTGTGTCATCAGCAAACCTAGCAACAATTCCCTCAGTTCCTTCATCCAGATCGTTAATGTAAAATGCAAATAGCTGTGGTCCCAACCTGGACCCCTGCAGAACTCCACTATTCACCGGCTGCCATCCTGAAAAAGATCCCTTTATCCCCCACTCTCTGCCTTCTGCCAGTCAGCCAATCCTCTATCCATGGCCAGTTTCTTTTTTCCCTAGCTATCTAAAAGATAAGAGGTTTTTTTTTAGAAAGAATATAATTTCAATATTCTCTAAAGTTAGAAAAATCTACAGGTGGAATGCCAATGAGAAGTTAAAGATGTTATTCATTGGGTCAACACAAATGAAATTAAGTTAGACAGCACTTTTATGGCTGACTGATATATTCAGAGAAAAAAAGCTACACTTTATGTGAAACCGACAGGTACAAATATTCAGATACCCTGTTAACAGAATGTGCCTTCATAACATTTTGTTTTTGAAGAGACTCTTATCTCACATTCCAATTATTCTTCTTTATAACTATTGCCTTTAGTTTCTCTTTATCTATTTGCTTGTGGCTCAGGTAGTAATTCAGAGACTATTGCCTTTTTCATTCTGTTTTTTAATTTAGCCCCTAGCAGCTCATACTCCCTCGGCAGAACGTCTTTCCTCTTTCTACTTGTATCATTGGTAGCTACATGGACCATGACAATTTGATCTTTCCCCTCCCACTCCAAATTCCTCTGCAGCCCAGAGGAGATAGAGTCATAGATTGAAACAGCACGGAAACAGACCTTTCGGTCTAGATGGAGATAGTAAGAACTGCCAGTGCTGGAGTCTGAGATAACACAGTGTGGAGCTGGATGAACACAGCAGGCCAGGCAGCATCAGAGGAGCAGGTCC